TGAATCAAATGAATCAAATGAATCAAATCAATTGAACAGACGGTTCGGACAAACAACAGCGACATGTATTCTTAAATTCAAAAGCCCCTAGTCTCTAATTTTCTGGTTCTTAAATTTGGAGAGACCTACTTTGGTATTTCTGCTGCTGATACCGTGCCCCGGATCGGACCACACAAACGTTATACTATATAAGTAAGAACTTGGCTTACCTTTTAAAAGCGGCCGCTTTTGTTTGTATGGTCTGTCCAAGCCGTTTCACAACTGCAGATGTATACCGTCTCTGATCTCTTTTTTTCAACTCCTGGCAAGCTCGCCAAATTATGTCGTGGAAATATTTGACTCAAAAATATCTCTCAAGACACTGGAGCTTGTGAATTCAAGAATTTAGACTTTATTGCATAACAAAGCCTGAGCTTGCTCCATGGAGCAAAAAACTGTCTCTCTTTGGCTTAGAGCTCCCTTTTATACACACAAATGCATAATCATGTTACATAGCATATACTGTCCCTCCCCTTAGGGCAAATGATTAACTTATTTTAGTACCACTCTACCTTAGCTTTCAACGTCCAGATGTCACCTGTAATGTACTCCAAAAGGTCATGGGCGCTTTTCCACAGGAAGCCTCTTCCCTAATCTCATTATATTGGTAGCAGACCCTTTCCCTAATCTCATTATATGGTTGCAGACCCTTTCTTTACAAATAATACACGTACATACATTAAGGCATTTTGTGTCAGGTCATAGGGTCATAAGCAAAACAAATGATAACACTAGGTCCATTGTTACTCCAATCCCCACACAGCCATCACATGTCATTGACATACTCAGACCAGCTGCAGAGAGTCTATGAAAAACACATAAATGTCTCTGCCCTTCAACTGGTTCTCAATCCATAAACATTTTAAGGCCTATAGGTGTTTAATTCTACAACATATGTACTTGAAAATCATCCATAATTCACACAACACTGAATAATCACTCACAGTAAATTGTAATGCATTGAGTGAAAGGTGCCAGAGTGACAGGTGGCACACGAACCCACTCCAGACTGCCACACACACACACACACACACACACACACAAACTATTGCCAATGCTACAGAAGAGAGAATGCTTGTAGCTGGGTGTGAACCAGGACAAGTACAGCTTTCATATCAGAGGGAGGAGACACGGTGGGATTTATTTATGAATAGCCTACAGAGTAATATTCATCAGTAGGTTGCCTAATCATGTGTCATGTTGGGGTGATGGCATCATATTTAGGCTGTAGATTATATACCCTGCAAAAATTGTGCACCTGCAGTTGGGTACATGCTGATATATTATGAAACAGTTTGATGCATGGAAAGATATGAAAAGCCCTGTTAGAAAGCCCACATGACAGGTTTGATGCATTATACACTTATTACACACATAACAATGTATATCACAAAGATTAGATATTATCAACCATTTTGATTCTGTAAAATACTGTATATATGCATGAGTTGAATAGATAATAGAACATTAAAAGCAGCACTCATATATACTTCTTTAAATAATGTATGCAGGCTTTATGTGGAATCATAGACATCTCTGCAATTATGTAGTTGTTCAATGAGTGAAAAAGTATTGCCATAGGTTCACAATGAGGCCATCTAAAAACAAAGCAAAGCATGCAAACCTGGCAGCTGTGGATTTGCTTTCCTATACAGTAACCTAGGTCAGTGTCCGCTGGCACTGCACTGTTGCCAATTAGCTGTGCAGGATGTGAGGGACACTGCAACAAAGTGACACCTAGATGGTAATTTTCCATGAAGCAAAATTGTGGGACTTGCTTGAGCTCTTTAAAAGTATTTTTGTGGTCATGGAAGAAGTGTTCTAATTGTAGATTTGAAAAGCAGAGAGGTAAAGATTTCATACGTTCTAAGTTATTGTCTAACTTGTTGGGGAAGTGGCCAAAGCAGCTGATTTGTGTCAAAAGTTACTTTGTTTACAGTGAATTCAATCATGGAAGTCGGCCCCATGTAGCTCAGTTGGTAGAGCATGGTGCTTGCAACGCCAGGGTTGTGGGTTCGATTCCCACGGGGGGCCAGTATTAAGAAATAAAAAGTATGCACTCACTAACTGTAAGTCGCTCTGGGTAAGAGTGTCTGCTAAATGACTAAAATGTAAAAAAATGAGAGTTTTTTAAGCCTATGTCACACGAAGCAATTTGGACTCAATTTCTGTTGCAGATACAAGTTGCAAGTGACATTATCTCAAGCAACTTTGCTGATACAAGAAGCAATGCAAGCACTATTGAAATTGCATGCAACATCCAATCCTGTCATACATCACATCATAGTTTCATAAATGATTTGTTTATCCATATGTTTAATAATTGTTATAGCATCGATATACACAAAATGCTGGCTGTACAATTTCGCTAGCTAGTCAAAATGTTGCCTATTTTCAAACCATGTTTTACCAGGCTAGCTAGCTAACCAAGCTAGCGACAAGCTAGCTAGCTAGCTAGTGTAGTTCATGTTGGACAATTTCAGTTGAAACTAGACAGAGAAAGGTCTGGGTTGCCTATTTGCCAACCATGTTTTACCAAGCTAGCTAGCTAGCTAACCAAGCTAGCAATGAGCTAAGATAGCTAGCTAGTGCAGTTCATGTTGGACAATTTCAGTTGAGACAGAGAAAGGTCTGGGTTAACTTTTTAAATTATATTTATTGACTGCCAGACCATGTACATAAACCACGACTAGCCATGGCGTCTAGAATTGTTTATACATTTCCCATTCGGCGTGTCTTTCTTTGTGTGCATTCGGCGCATCTTTTTTTTCGTAATTTTGCAGCAGCAGCACTGGCAGCTGAGTTGACATGACAACTGGTTCGGAGTTCCGAACAGAGCTATATGATGAGCACAGGAGGTTGGTTGGCAGCTTAATTGGAGATGATGGGCTCGTGGTATTTTTTTAGGAGGTCAAAAAGCTTAATAGTTCAAAAAGTAGAAATGTTATAAAAAAGTTGTATACAAGCACGCTATTCCTGACGGGTCTGCACGTTTTAAAGTTTGAATGACCTTTCTAGCTGTAACGGTGTACGAAAAATAGTGTTCTAAATAATAATAATAATAAAAAGTCCGAAATATTTTTTACAATATTTAAAGTGGGACGTTTTTCTTTTGCAAGTCTTACTAATGATGGGGAGGGCAGACCACGCCCCCTGGACGCTCCGCTGTTTCCATGTCTGCAGGGAAGAGGCAGGTAGGTCTATCGAGATACCTCAACAAGTGCCCTCTCGCTCCTTCTCTGTAGATAAGGTAAGAACAAATGCCCATTCACTTTTCTATTCAGTTATTTAGATCTAAAGTGACTATTGCTGTGTCAGTGTTTTCTGTGTTAAGTTTAAGCTACATTATAAGAGAAACTAAATTTGTTTGTTTCAATTTCTTAAAAAATAGAGCATGTTATATAACTGAAATTCAGCGCCATCTCTGGCTTCAAGTAATGAACCATTAGCTGTAGTTTAATATGGTCATGATCTTCGACATTTCCACCAAAACCATCCATGTGTAAAATGCATTCAGAACATTTTACGCACAGTTCTGAGGACCACTTGAATCAGATGCGCTATCGGATCATCACCCGGATTTTTCCCACGGTGCTACTGGACATTATGAATGACCTGGAAAAGACGTTGTTTTATGGATTCAATCATTTTAAACCGGACAAATCTTACAAGAAATCCACATTGAATGGACACATGACAACACCATGTATGCATTACCCCAAATGGGATTCTACCATATTCGACCAACATTTTAGTATGTATTTTGGCTGAGGTATCCACTGACATTTGTATTTAATTAAGCAATACTGCATGAGGGGGTGTGGTATATGGCCAATATAATAATAATAATAATATGCCATTTAGCAGACGCTTTTATCCAAAGCGACATACAGTCATGTGCGCATACATTTTTACGTATGGGTGGTCCCACTACCCTGGCGTTACAAGCGCCATGCTCTACCAATTGAGCTACAGAGGACCATATACCATGGCTAAGGGCTGTTCTTATGTATGATGCAATGCGGAGTGCCTGGAAACAGCTCTTAGCCGTGGTATATTGGCCATAAACCACAAACCCCAGAGGCGCCTTATTGCTATTATAAACTGGTTACCAACGTAATTAGAGCAGTAAAAATATTTGTTTTGTCATACCCGTGGTATATGGTCTGATATACCATGGCTGTCAGCCAATCAGCTTTCAGGGCTCGAACCACCTGTTTATAATCATCATTATAAACCGGGTGGTTCGAGCCCTGAATGCTGATTGGCTGAAAGCCATGGTATTTCAGACTGAATACCACGGTTATGACAAAAACATTTTAAAAAACCCTTTTCTAATTACGTTGGTAACACGTCGTACCTAAGAACAGCCCTTAGCCTTGGGATATTGGCCATATACCACACCCCCTCCTGCCCTATTGCGTAATTATATTATATGCTCCATCTATGGCATTGCGAGATCACTCAGGGGGGTTTAGGGTACTTTTTTATTCAGATGCTGATTTGTTTAAAAAAAGAAGCAGAACCAACTACGTGAGAGTTTTGAGGCACAACAATGGCCTCTTGTGAAGGTCAATATAAAAAGTCGACCCAGTTTTGGGGGTTTGTCAGGAAATCAGCAGTAATCTGCATCCTGAATTGGCACTGGAAGGAGAGAGAGGGGAGGGAGAGGGTGGAAAGAGTAACCATCAATAGGCATTACAGCACTAATCCTGCACCTCTTTGGGCCTTCTGTAAGTGATAGGTACAAATGAGCTTAGGCCAATCATGAATTACCTCATACTGAACATGCAAGCTTTTATATAAGGAAATGGGGTGTTTACAAGATGGCAGTACTTAACAGAGATATCCACCAAAGCTGTGGTCCCAAAATATTTTGTTTTGTTGCTTTGTGAGCTACTTGAAGCCTTTCAAACGTTCTTGTACCCAAACGATGTGTCTAGCCATATTAGTCCTAAGACATGACCCAAGAGGAAATGGCTGTGACCTACCAGTGGGTCGGTCCCCATCCGCCATATGTGAAACACTGTCCCAAAGTGTTTGGTCATCTTGGGGTTCTTTATGTGTGGTGAGGGTTGTCTTTAGAAAAGGAATGTGTATATACATCTAAGACAGTCCAGTGTTCTCTAGACAGAAGAGTAAAGCTTGTCTGTCTGTTGTTGTTCCAGGAGCCTGCTGTGACGACAGAGCCACCATGGGTCGCACAGAAATAACCTGCAGTTGGAAGAAAGTCACCAACAACATCAGAGATGTGTTCGAATTCAAACAAGCGCTGGGATCGTAAGTACTTTGTCTGTTAAGATTAAATCCTGGAAGTTTTTCCTGGCCAGGTCACAGTGATTTAAACCAGCCCTTTATGATAAAAGGGACAATTAATTCAAACCTTTGTCTAGGTTTTAATTTCAGATTAACTCTGTGCGTCAAGCCATTACTGTGTTTTGCATGTATAACTCAAAGCACTTTTACTTTGAGGATAACTCACCTCATCCGATGTGTAGCACCCACCTGGGTGATGCAAGGCAGCCATTTTGTGCTTGGTTGTTTTCACTGTCCTTTGTTGCTGAGTAGTGGCTCTTGTTAGCTTCTTATCTCCGACTAAAGAGCCATTATTACAGGATTGAGTGCATCTTCAGGATATCTACTTTACCTGTTCCCAGAGAAGGATCCTAGTTAGGCACTATAATCCTGGAAAGTCCTACCCAGATAAGAGTATTAGGACCCGGGTCAGGGCAGGTCATCTTTATCAAGGGAACACTTGGCGCTCACATAATACAGTCTCTCTCACCTTAAAGATGGACCCTTTGTTAGAGAGTTTTGAGTTTGAATGAGGTAGCAACAGTAACCAAAAGGGGACAGGACATGGCACATTTGGGGAAAATGGTTGACCAATAGTTGCCCAATGTGTAACGTGATTTCATGTGTACATACATTTATGATCGTGTGAGTGTAGGCATGTGGGTCTGTGCACATGTGCGCTAGTGTGGTTGTGTACATGTGTGCATGTGTGGGTGTATGCGTGTATGCGTGTTTGTAGGTCTATGTACAGTAGGTCTATGCATAGTACAGTATATGAGAGCTTTATGAAAGGAGTTGTTCTATGTGAAATCGAATAGAAAGGTTTTATTGCCCACACAATGCTGAAAACTGCAGAGTGAGAGAGGTCTGTCTGTTGCCCCTGGCCTACCTGTTGCCTGAGCCTCCTGCTCACCTCCTCAGCCTCTCCTCAAGCAGCTTACAGCATAATATATGAGAAGGCTGAGGTTGAGAGAAATGTGAGCCAGGCAGGTGAGCAATGATGTCATTACAGAGCGGGCACAGCCTATCACTGCTCAATTATAGGATTAAGGGCCTGGCATTGTGTGTTGAGTGTGCATTTGCACATGAGGTGAGGTGTGAGGGAATGAGTGTGACTGTGTGCCTGCATGCCTGTGTGAGTTTGACTATCTTTATATGTGTGTGTTCATCAGAGCTGGGTTCAAATAGTATGCTTTCTTTCAAATACTTTGAGTGTGATTGAGTCTGCCAGGAATGCCAGATGAGAGGCATTTGCACTTTTAGAACCAATCTATTTTTGCACTTTTGGAACTTTTCTATTGGTCCCATTTCGCCAGGAAGTGAAGTAGCAAGCCCAATCAAAGTGTTTGAAAGAAAACAAATACTGCAGTATTTGAACCCAGGCCTGGTGGACATTGTCTCTCTTTGTCTCCGTCTGTATGTCTGTCTCTCCCAGAAATGATGTCTTTGGACACAGAGCACACTTATTGCATCAGTATCACAGGTGTTGGAATATGAGTGTCTGCCAAACAGAAGATTACCCACACCTTGGTCTCCCTCAAACAGGGCTGTCAGCAGATGGAGGTTGGATCCATTTATGAGGTTTAGGATCCTCTCGGCTCCCTCCCACACATGAACACTTCTCTCCTGATGTCATGTTACGTCTGGGGTGTTTGTTGGGTCTGACAAAGAAAACACCCACCCACAGTCTTCTCAGGGTTCATCCAGGGTTGACTGTGCAAGATCAGACAGAGACAAGCAGACACAATGAACACACTAGGACCACAATGATTGTGTTTTTTATTCTCTTGGAGCCGCCTACTACTTTTCATTATCTAATCAATTAAATCAAGTAATCAATCAATCATCTCAGGGGTCTCTTCTCTGGGCCTCCTGTCCCGAGCTTCAGGCTGGGCAATGGAAAAGGCTTGAGTACTAATCCTCCTGTATTGCCCTGCTTCTATTCACAGGCCTCAGGAGCACAGGCCATACCTGATCCTCTATGGCTGCGTTTAGACCGGCAGCCCAATTCTGATATTTTTTTCATGAATTGATCATTTGACCAATCAGATCAGCTCTGAAAAAGATCTGACGTGATTGGTCAAAATACCAATTAGTGGGAAAAAGATTAGAATAGAGCTGCCGGTCTAAACACACCCTTCCCAGGCCACACTGGTCTCGTGCCTAGCCATGTGCAGCTATGAGCCAGGAGAGTGAGGCTGGGTGGTGGTGACTCCACCTACAGCACTGTAGCCTTCCAAAGTGTGTACGAGAGCTTCCGCCATCTTGGTTACACCTATCCAATTATCTGTGGATAGGGGTACATTTTTCTGGGTTGTTTTCGAGCTATTATTTCATTGGATTAGAGCACAGGTGTTAAAGTCATTCATTCGAGGGCCGAGTGTCTGCGGGTTTTCGCTCCTCCTTTGAACTTGATTGATCAATTACGGTCATTAATTAGTTAGGAACTCCCCTCACCTGGTTGTCTAGGTCTTAATTGGGCACAAATTGAACAGAAATAACAAAAACCAGCAGACACTCAGCCCTCCATGGAATGAGTTTGACACCCCTGGAATAGAGACTAGAATCGTTCCTGTAGTTAACCCCAGAAATCCGCAAATGTATGGAACCTAAAGATTCAAAGGTTAATTGACCAAAGAGCTTAAACCCATGGGTTGGAAAATGGACATTGCCTTATAACCATTTCTCTGTCTGTGTGTGTAGGGGTTCGTTCTCCGAGGTGTATTTGGTGAGAGAAAAGAAGACTGGAAACCTCTACGCCCTAAAGTGTCTGAAGAAAAAACACCTCAGCTGTAGTAAACTAGAGAACGAGATCACTGTGCTGAAGAAGTGAGTACACACATACACTCTCTCACACCTTGAATGAACAACATCCCAAATCTCTCCCTCTTCCTCTCAGGATAAGGCATGACAATGTGATTGGATTGGAAGACTTCTATGAAACTCGGACACACTACTACCTTGTCATGCAGCTGTGAGTAGGAACCATTTTCTACATATTCTAAATGCAGTTATTAACATACAGAGAAATGTTACTGTTTTAGAAAACCGGCTGTATTAGTAGGGTCTAATGAAGATTTTAAAGGCTGTTGATTCTGATGATGGTGAATATAGTGGTGGAGATTCTGATGTGTATGTTCTTTCCTAGGGTGTCTGGTGGGGAGCTGTTTGACCGTATCATAGATCGGGGGGTGTACACGGAGAAGGATGCCAGCCAGCTGGTCCACCAAGTACTGGAGGCTGTCAACTACCTTCATGAGAACAGCATAGTGCACAGGGATCTCAAGGTACGTTACACACAGTCAAAAAGTAAATAAACACACTTAATATACAATATGCCAAACATATTTTACACACACAGTACTATTATATACTATGTTGGGAGAATAGTTTCTCTGCCGGTTGTTGACCCTCTCTCCCTCGGTGAGTGCAGCCAGAGAACCTGCTGTACTTCAACTCAGATGAGAACTCCAAGATCATGATCAGTGACTTCGGCCTGTCCAAGATGTCCGACCACGGAGTGATGTCCACGGCCTGCGGCACGCCAGGATATGTTGGTGTGTGTGTGCGTGCGGCAACCGTGTGTTAGTTGGTTGGTCATTGAAATAGTGTAAAGCTTCATTGCACAGATTTAGCGGATTAGCATGGTATCTAATCCTGTGTATATTTGACCTTCTACAGCCCCTGAAGTTCTGGCTCAGAAACCCTACAATAAGGCAGTGGACTGCTGGTCCATAGGAGTCATCACATACATCCTGTGAGAACCTATCTAGGACTTCTAGATCTATATCCGCCAGCACCTCTTCTCAACCCTTTCATAGTATTAGGATGACTGCATTGTGAGATGGTATTTCTATATAACGTTTGGGGAAAGTTATTGTAATAACTCTGTGATAACCATGTTCCCTCTGTTTGTAACAGGCTGTGCGGCTACCCTCCGTTCTTTGAGGACAACGAGACACGTCTGTTCTCTAAGATCATGAGGGCCGACTACGCTTTCCACTCGCCCTTCTGGGATAACATCTCAGAGTCAGGTAAGACCTACCACCACCCCTACAACAAGGGTATTAACACAGAACGACTATCATAACTACATAGTAAATATATTCATAAGTAATCAGTGCTAGAATACCTTTTTACTGTATATGCTGAAAGTTCCATGTCAGTTGTTGACGATTGTCTGTCTCCGTTTCCATAGCAAAGGACTTCATCCGGAACATGATGCAGAAGCACCCTAAGAAACGCTTCAGCACAGAACAGGCCCTCAGACACCCCTGGTGAGTCACAAACAGATCCAGGATATGCCCATCCTCCCCTCATCTTACTATAACCATTAGAGGGGGCAAATACAAAACTGATCTAAGATTAGTGTCTGGGTATCCCACTTTCTTGTTTATTCCTAGATCCTGGTGGCCCTAACAATGTCATTTCCTGTTGCAGGATCATTGGGAAGACAGCGAGGGATCAGGACATCTATGAATCAGTCAGCATTCAGATCCAGAGGAACTTTGCCAAGTCCAAATGGAGGGTGAGCAACATGTCATAGGGCTACATACAATATGCTATCATACATGCATACATTATTATTATTAAAACATGATTATTTATACAAATATATCAATCATAGTATTCCTGTGTGTTTGTTACAGCAAGCCTTCAACGCCACAGCAGCCATCAACCACATGAAGAAGCTGCAGTTGGCCCACGCCGACCCTGACGCCCCTCTCCCTCCTATCCCCGCCATCAACCCCTGCAACTCCCAGAATCCTCAGCAGGGCGTCAACAACATCACCGCCAAGGACGTCGACACTAACCTCCCAATCCCAGTGTGTCACGTGACCCCTCCAGAGGCGCAGTGCCGTTGCCTGCGAGCCAGTCATAGTGAGCCCAGGCACGCGCCGGTCGTTATGGAGACGTGTAACGCGGAGAATTGCTCCTCATTCGCAGCAGCTAAAAGGTGAGTCCGAGTGGACTGAGGGGAGGGGAATATACACTACCGTTCAAAAGTTTGGGATCACTTAGAAATGTCCTTGTTTTTGAAAGAAAAGCAATTTCTGTCCATTAAAATAACATAAAATTGATCAGAAATACAGTGTAGACATTGTAAATGGCTATTGTAGCTGGCTATTGTATTTGTCCTCTTGCTCAGTTGTGCACCGGGGCCTCCCACTCTTTCTATTCTGGTTAGAGCCAGTTTGCGCTGTTCTGTGAAGGGAGTAGTACACAGCGTTGTACGAGATCTTCAGTTTCCTGGCAATTTCTCGCATGGAATAGCCTTCATTTCTCAGAACAAGAATAGACTGACGAGTTTCAGAAGAAAGTTATTTGTTTCTGCCTTTTTTGAGCCTGTAATCGAACCCACAATTGCTGCTGCTCCAGATACTCAACTAGTCTCAAGAAGGCCAGTTTTATTGCTTCTTTAATCAGCACAACAGTTTTCAGCTGTGCTAACATAATTGCAAAAGGGTTTTCTAATGATCAATTAGCCTTTTAAAATGATAAACTTGGATTAGCAAACACAACGTGCCATTGGAACACAGGACTGATGGTTGCTGATAATTGGCCTATGTAGATATTCCATAGAAAATCTGCAGTTTCCAGCTACAATAGCCATTTATAACATAAACAATGTCTACACTGTATTTCTGATCAATTTGTTATTTTAATGGACAAGAATTGCTTTTCTTTTGAAAACAAGAATTTAAGTGACCCCAAACTGTTGAACGGTAGTGTATGTCATTCAGGGGGGGGGGGGGGGGGGTTGAGCTATGTCCAATGTTTAAAATCTGTGATTCGTAAGGCTCTGCTTTTTGCTGTCTGTTTCAGCTGTGATACCATTGACAGGGCGACCAATAGGAATGGGCACACCGTGCAGACTGGGGTGTGTTCTGTTATGTGATTGCTTGACCTAAGGATCAATTCAATGGCTTAAAGGTAAATTGGTCTCACATACACAATGCGCATTTGCTTGTAAGTTGCTCTGGATAAGAGCGTCTGCTAAATGACTAAAATGTAAATGTACACAATCAAAAAAATACAGAGTTGATAGGAAAACACCCACACTATCTCACATGAATTATATGAATCTTCATGTGAATTTACACTCCCCACGCGCCTCCAGTGCTTCTGCAGTGTTGCAGTCAAGAGGTTGGAGCCACTCTACAGTTGTCAGCTGTCTCCTGCTGGTTCAGGAGTAGTTTCTCTGTAGTGCCCAGAGGCCCATAGCAAGGGCCTGAACCTTATCCAGAGAACAGAGGAAGTCCTGGGATTCATACCCAACTACAATGTAGTACATTTACACTCACACAAATGTTGATTTCTTTGACCCAATGTGTACATTCTGTACTTCTATCTCAACAAAAAATATATACATTTGAAGTATACAAAGACATACTGTATTTGCAATGTATAATTGTCTATGAATAATGCTTATTGACCTATGGAAAACAATATTACATTTTTGAATATTTGTTTCTGATAGCTGCGACGGCTAGATTGTAACTCGTTAATTAAATTGGCTTTGGCTACTTTATGTGTTGCTGTCTGAACTAAATTAAACTGTTCTTCTTTCACTCACATCTGTTCCTATAAATGGGTCTGGAGAAACCAGAGTCCTATGGCTCTGAAGAAAATGTATAGATAACCTGGTAAAATGGTTTCATTGTAAAGTTTATGAATACTATGTGACATCTATTCAAGGAGAAGGGCTTTGAGATGTCGTTGTCAAGTGTTAAATCGAAGATATGTATTTTTATAGTGTGAATTATTTGTATATTTTATCATCCTAAATGTAAGGATTTTGACTGTTATGAATCTTACCGACAGGTTTGAATGTCGTTGACCCGTTGTTTGAATCCTAACACCCATGTCATAACAATGACTTTGGGGTGAGGAGGGTTTGGAGGGCTGACGTTTCTCTGTAAGAGAAGATGGTTATTACTGTGCTTAAAGTGGTCCTGTGTAACACTAACACCACTTTATGTACAGAGATGATAACATGTGCCACTTTTATGCCATAAGCTGCTGTAGAGATCCGCTTGTAGTGCCAATGCCATTGTAACTGTTTGACTGGAGATGCTATAACCACAAGCGCTATACTTTGTTGTTTCTTAATAAAACATTAATGTAAAACTTCCTGTACTTTTCTTACCTCACATCTCTCTTCAGCTAGCCTAATCCACCATCCTGACCACTGCGTTTTCATTTCACTTCATCAGTCTGGGCCTCCTACGATTGAAACTATTGTAGCTGAGGGGCATTGCGCAAAACAAATGTAAAAGCTTTTGGATCACTGAATCTTTGTAGCGAAACAATGTCAGCTCTGGAGATCAGGATGGTCAAACGAGGCTACTCTACAGCTATTGGTGGCATGGTTTGAGAGGGGTCTTGTTGGGCCAATTAGGACGTTCAGGGGCGTTTCTAGGATTTGAGGACATCGTAGGCTTAGGCCATTGAGCTATAAGGGGGAACCCTAGCAGGGGATCCAGGGGAATACTCCCCCGGAATAAATTACATTTCAACAGCATCAATCTGAACATTGAGAGATTAGATGTAAGAATTGTGGCAAAAATGTAATAACATTAATTACTGTCAAAGGCAGGTTGCCTATTCTGAATGCACTGGTTGAGGTAGGAAGCATAGAACTGTTGATGTGCCCTTGAGAAAGGCACTTAATCCTAATTGCTCCTGTAAGTTAAATGACTAAACCGTTGGAGCTGATACAGGTGCTGGTGTCCCGGTCAGAGGACAAGGATGGGGAGAGAGACTTGGGGCTTCGGTTTATTTTCTTCAATCAATCATAATCCATTATTGACTTGTGTGCTAAAAATAAACAGAAAATAGAAAGCAAAACATTTGCATTAGGAAATTTCATAAAGAATTCACATGATCATATCTTAGATCATAAACATACTTATCATACACATCATTTCCATATCAGTATCATCACTTCAAAGGATATCCAAAATAGATGAATGATTCATGTCCATACGCAACATGCTGCAACAACTCAACAGTCTACAACTACTGATACAACAGTGCATCATTAAATGCTTATATATTCACACATGAAACAGAAAGTAAAAAGGAAACAATGTTGCGGGTTACTCACGTTAGGTATTGGATGCACAGATAACAGAAATAAAATGGATAAATGGTAGAGAGTATCTTCAAGAGGCATGGGTTGTTTGGCACTGAACTAAAGACAAAGGGAACTCAGGTATTTCATAAGGGAATTGGTTGCAGGTGCGCTCGGAGCAAAATCAAATCAAATGTTATTGGTCCTGTACCCATATTTAGCAGATGTTATCGCAGATTTCTAGCTCTAGCAGTGCAGCAGTACCAACAATACAAAACACACACAAATCCCCAAAATTAAAAGCATAGATATGTATAGAGGTATCCAGTGCTCAAAAGCCTATATTAACATATGTTGTGATACGTTGTTGTGATAGCTCAGAAGTGCCTGCAGTTAAAGGCAAAGTTAACTAAAAAGTGCAAATTAAAGGGACACTTCCCTAAAACGTATATTAAAAATGAGAGCCTTTTTTCTACAATGTGGGTGAGCTATCCCTTTAAAATACAGCTTTAAGAAAGAAAGTCCTGCAGGGGTGGTATGTTTCCCAAGTGCAGGGGGTTTGAAAATGTTAATGCTATAACAATTAATTTCTTCAAGTCACCCCACCTTCAAGAAACATCTAAAAGGTGAGGCTGACTAGTTGCAGACACTTGTCATCTTACAATACATAGGCAAGATCTTTTGCGTTTATGAGCTATTGTCACACCCTGGCTCGGGGACTCTATATGTTGAGCCAGGGTGTGTGCATTCTATGTGTTCGTTTTCTATGTTGGGTATTCTAGTTGTTCTGTTTCTATGTTTGCCTGTATGACTCCCAATCAGAGGCAACGAGTGTCAGCTGTCGGCTGGTTGTCTCTGATTGGGAGCCATATTTAAACTGTGTGTTTTCTCTTGGGTGTTGTGGGTTTTTGTTCCGTGTTCAGTCAGTGTTACTGTGGACTTCACGATCGTGTTTTGTTTTGTACTTGTGCTTTAACTAATTAAAGTCATGTTCGTGTCACACGCTGCGCCTTGGTCTACTCCTTCTCGTCAAGACGATCGTGACAGCTATTGAGAGTCCCCTTACCATCACTGACTAGCTGCTTGTGCACACTACTAAAATAAATAATTGATGTAACAGGCATAAAACAAATAATTGATGTAACAGGCATTTCAATATAGCCTATTCTTGTTTTATGACTTACAATCAACATGACCACGACATAGCGTATACCTATATGAATGCTGACAAAATTGGGAAGAAGTGGAATAATAAAAGAAGTATGAGGAATAAAAATACTGTTCTTGCTGACAAACACACTCATTATCCTATAATATGATAGCCCATTATAAGGAATAGGAATCGTTCTACTGTCTTACATCAGCTAATGTGAAAGAAAGAAATTAAACAGAAAATCTTCTGAAGACAACATGGCATAGCCTAAATCTACCCAGGACTACACCCTACCCAAATGATGTCTATTTATTTTCTCCCACGCCCCCCACTAGGATAAAACATATTATTTTGGGATCACTATCTCTTTCTCCATGTTCCATCTTAAACCAAATGTGTGCCTGTCCGATTACCAGGTTGTTAGCTAATAAGGTAACATGACTGAACAAGCTTGTTTGTTATTGAACAAATAATCTAATTAGCGATCCTCAAGTAGCCTAGTTTTAAAACAACAGGGACATGGTTTATTTATCTTTATGCTTCCTGTGAATTCACGATAGTAAAAAAAAAAAACATATCTCCGGTAAAATAAATCACATCTTTTGAACAATTTGGGTTAGTGACACACAGTTTTCATTAAAGTAATGCTAAAATCATGACAGTCTCTATGGCATACTGCCTAGCGTGTAAGTAATATGCCAGTATGGGAACTCATATCAGACATACAGCCTGCAATTTCTATATTCTTCAACCATCAAAAGGTTTGGTGCTGGACCAAAAAGATTCAGGGCTGCAGCCCCAGAAATCCCAGGCCTAATGATGTCACTGGGATGTAGTAGGATAAAGATACAAATCTGGAAAAAGGGAAACTCAACGTCATGAAAAATATCTTTATTGGGACATTGTTTTCTAAAAAATGGGACAAAATAAATTACATCGCTCCTCTATCTCAATGAACAGGCTATTTGAGGATGACCTCTGCCCTTTTACCTCTCAGCCCTGGCAGGTGGAGAGGATCTTGACCTTCTGTCTCATGTCAGCCAGGAGGTCCCGCAGTTTGCCGTCCAGACCGGTCAGCCTCTGGGACTTCAGTAGGACCTCATCCTGTAGTCTACGCAGAGAGTCTGCTTTACCTGAAGATAGAGGGGGAGGGAGAGCGAGGAGAGAGAGGGGGAGGAGAGCAGGAGAGAGAGGGGGAGGAGAGCAGGTGAGAGGGGGAGGAGAGCGAGGAGGAGAGGGGGAGGAGAGTAGGAGGGAGAGGGGGAGGAGAGCAGGTGAGAGGGGGAGGAGAGTGAGGAGGAGAGGGGGAGGAGAGTAGGAGAGAGAGGGGGAGGAGAGCAGGAGAGAGAGGGGGAGGAGAGCAGGAGGAGGAACAGGAAGAGAGGGGAATGTTTTTTTTATTTTGATATGGTGCAAATTCATCACGTCAAATATATATATAAAAGCCAGAGATCCTCATCATCACAGCATTCAGTGCCTTTAGTGCTCGATTCAATCCATAGTTCTGAAGTTTGACATTTAAAGGCAATGTTCCCGCGTTAGCGGAGACTGCATTCACGGTAAACGATGCATATGTCTAGCCTGGCTGACGCGACCCACGTGACTCACAGCGCAGGAAAGGAGGCCGTTCGTTAATGCAATATTCACTCAGAAATTGTGTGATGGGTTTGATTGGTTCTCTTAAATGTAATTTTTGGGATTTGAAAATCCAACCGTTGTAATGGAAGGGGGCGGCGCTCTGAGGCTGTGTGTAGCTGTGGGTGTTTGAGTGAGAAAGACACAGAGGAGAGCCAACCAGTAAAAGCACAGCCCCCTTCATCATCGACACATTGTGCCAACAACATCAAAGAGCCATTCCAGACAAGAGTTAGGTGTTAGCCAGACTAGCATATGTCGGCTCAATCGGAAATTACCATTAAATCATTTCAATCTCGCCATAACGCTGAACTTCAGCGATATGGATTGAATCGAGCCCTTAGTCAATGTTCCACAAATGCATATATGCCCGCATACTGGATGGATTGTGAAAACAGTCATGATGCCAGGTGTGTGTGTGTCCCCTCGCTATCCTCCATCCGTACCTGCTAGTGACTTCATCATGTCTCCAGTGTCCTGGGCCAGAGAACCAGCCTCCTCCTGCAGCTTCTGGAGACGCTCACCTGCTGCCCCCGTCCCATCGCCATGACCACTGGTCCTCTCTGCAGCACGCAGCTTCTCCAGCTGCTTCTCCAGGGATGCCAGGTCCTACAAACACATAAGCAAAGAGACAGGCAGTTCAGCACACACACACACACATACAGACAGAGACACACATACAGACACAGACACGGGCAAACACATGGACGCACACACACACACAAACACACACACACATACATACAGACAGAGACACACATACAGACACAGACACGGGCAAACACATGGACGCACACACACACACACACACACACACACACACACACACAAACACACACATACACCACAGGAGGTTGGTGGCACCTTAATTGGGGAGGACGGGCTCGTGGTAATGGCTGGAGCCGAATGAGTGGAATGGTATCAAATATATCAAACACGCTCCGTTCCAGTCATTATTATGAGCCGTCCTCCCGTCAGCAGCCTTGATTGACATACACATACACACACACATAAACAGTAGCACACACACAGATACTCTAACACACACTCACCCTGGCCGCAGCATCTGCCTCCTTCTTAGCCTTATCGGCCTCTCCCTTAGCATTCTGGGCCAGCAGACCTCCAGAGTGCACCAGCACCTTGAGCCCCTCCAGCTGAGGCTTCATCCCCTCAGCCAGGGCAGACACCTCCCCTAGAGCCTTCACCGTGGGTGTCAACTGGGCCTTGGTCTGGAGGGAGTTGAAATACGGGTGTTATTGGGGGGATGGAGAGAGGAGGATGGAGAGAAGAGGATGGAGAGAGGAGGGATAAAAATTAGAGAGGAATAAAAAGGTAAGAAGCTGTGAAGGATATGGAAAATGGAGGCAATACAAGCAATGTCAGTGTCAGACTAGTTTGAAAGTGTAATTGTATTTATTTGAGCACATTAGCTCAATGGACTTGTTCATCTCTCTCCCACCTGTGTGAGACTGTTGCTGATGTCTTCCACTATGTCCAGGCTGTCCTGCACTTTGTCGTTCATGCCAGAGAGGGAGCCCTCCACGGTGGTGAAGCCCTCCAGCAGCCCGTCAACATCAGCCTTCACACCCAGCGCAGCATCGCTGTCATACAGCACACAACAACGTTATAACAATGTTACAGCAACCTTTCTGCAACATTCACAGCAGTCACAACAATGTTAAAGTGACTTCTGAAACCACACAGCATTTTCATACATCAATTACAACTAACACTTTACTTAAACCATAGATGCTTACAGTACATAACCCTGTCATAAGACTGACATAAGAGGTCATAAGGTGTTATACCTGGCATCCTGGGCCTCCTGTAGCAGGCGTTGGGCGGTGTCGAGCTGTGGTCCAGCCTGGTCCAGGACTGCAGTGCTGTCTGGGAGTCCTGCCGCCAGGTCTCTGATCTCCTGAAGCTTCCTCTTCAGAGCTGCCAGACTGAGAGGCAGCTTGGCGTTCAAGATCCACTCACTTGCCGTACTGATGGCTGTTGGGTCTGACGACGGGTCTGGAGACAAGGAGGGAGAGGAGGGAGAGAGAGAGGAGGATTGAAGGAGGGAGGATGAGAAAGAGGGGAAGATGGAGGGGGAGAGAGAGTGGAAGAGAGGGGAAGGGAGAGAGGAAGGGAATGTCAGTAAACCACACACTCACAAAAATGCAATGCTACTACTTCAATACTTCTACTACGAGTAAAAAAGTATAAATAGGTTATTGAAGGTACTGGAACATAACCATCGATGTGTCACCTGACAGGAAGTCCTTCAGCTCTTTAACAAAGTATCTTGTCTCCTGCAGATCTGCCTCCAAGTCATCCCTGGTCCGCCTCATCTGATTGACCAGATCATCCGTGGACTGTCTGACCAGATTGACTGTGTCCTGTGTTTTCTGGATCTGTGAATTGAATGGAGAAAGGAGAAAAGCATTGAACACCATATGATGAAACAAACCACTTGAATGACTGAAGGACATATCCTACATGTAAGTATTCAAACCCAATAAACAGTTATATATGTTATAAAATACAGTAAACAAACAAACAAGTGTCAGCTCCTACCTGTGCAGCAGCCTGTGTGATCTTCCCATTGAGCAGCTGCAGTCTGTCCTTTACCTCCTCAGCATCCCTCACAGCTCGGGTCCCTAGAGGCAGAGCTCCAACGCAACTCTCCCCACGACCACAGGGTGGCGCACCCTCCGCAGGGCAAAGCTCACCATCACACCAGGCAGGGTTACAAGGGGCAGAGCGCACACTGCCACACACCTGAGAGACAGGGAATAAAAATACACAGTCACGTTAAGGTGAAGTTAGGGTAAAGGCTAGGGCTACGTCTAGGGTTAAGGGTTAAGGCTAGGGCTAGGGCTAGGGCTAGGGTTAAGCCTAGGGCTAGGTCTAGGGTTAAGGGCTAGGGTTAAGGGCTAGGGTTAAGGGTTGAGTGTTAAGGGTTAAGGGCTAGGGCTAGGGTTAAGGGTTAAAGCTAGGGTTAAGGCTAGGGCTAGGTCTAGGGTTAAGGGCTAGGGTTAAGGGCTAGGGTTAAGGGTTAAGGGTTAAGGCTAGGGTTAAGGGTTAAGGTTAGGGCTAGAGTTAAGGGTTAAGGCTAGGGCTAAGTCTAGGGTTAAGGGCGAGGGCTAAGTCTAGGGTTAAGGGCAAGGGTTAAGGGTTAAGGGTTCAAGCTAGGTATAGGGTTAAGGGTTAAGGCTAGGTCTAGGGTTAAGGGTTAAGGGTTAATGCTAGGGCTAGGGTTAAGGCTAGGGTTAGGTCTAGGTCTAGGGTTAAGGGTTAAGGGTTAAGGCTAGGGTTAAGGGTTAAGGGTTAGGGTTAGGGTTAAGGGTTAAGGGTTAAGGCTGGGGTTAAGGTTACCTGCTTGGCAGTGGGTGTGAGGTCAGGTTTGGTGTTCAGCTGCTGGTTGAGTTTCTCCAGGTCTCTGGTGTTGGCTGGTTGGACCTGGTTCTGGAGGTCAAGAGCGTCCTCTCTGACCGCTAAAGATTGATCCACAGTCTTCCCACTAGCCTCCACACTCTTGGCCGCATCCGTGAACTCATCATAGGCATTCTTTATAGAAGAGAAGGCCCCTGAGAGAGAACCAACCAAGACGACAGACAAACAATTGTGTTAGCAGCCCCTTGAGCAAGGCACTTAACCCTAATTGCTCATGTAAGTCGCTCTGGATAAGAGCGTCTGCTAAATGACTAAAATGTTAAATGTTAAATAAGTGAGCCAAAACAAAACCAGAATGGTATGGTAAGTCTATATGGTTCTAATTCTGATTCTGGATTCTAAATTCCTCACTGAGCCTTTTTGTGGTCACACAAGGATGGTGCTCACAGCTCTGCAGCGGCATCTCTCTCACCTGCATTGTTGGAGTTGATAGAGTTCCTGAGAGCGTCTCTCTTGGTGTTGTACAGCAGACCCAGGCCGTCCAGGAGAGCCTCAAACTCGTCCAGCTGTGAGCCCAGCTCGAGGCCTCTGCCTTGGGGTGACAGATCCCCATCCACCTGATCTAACTGGTCCCTGGTGGATTACAACGGGGATGAGGGATAGTGAGCTAGGTAATGAAAGACTGTGTCCTACGGGTCTAGTGGTGTTTACATTTAGACAATGAAATGATGTACTTTTGAAAGCAAAGTATTGCAGGTTATGGAATCTGATGCCCACGTTTATTTGGACATTCTAAGTTTGCCGGGGAAGCCGAACATCTCCCTACCTTAGTCTGCGTAGCTGAAAGAGGGCATCGTTGACTTGTCTGGTAGAGGGAGGTGGGAGTGGGAGAGAGTCACGTATCTGGGTGAGAGTGGCCTCCAAAGCTTGGATGCGGGGACCCAGACCAGTGGGCAACGAGCCCCCAGGACGAGAGGGGATTCTGGGGGAGAGTCTCTCTAGGCCCAGGGTGAGGTTCTGGATGTAGGAGTCCAGAGAGAAGAAGCAGGAGGGGCAGACCTCACAGTCAGGAAATGAGTCACAGTGGCCACGGGTACAGGCATCGCAACGGGTACCTGTGACACCAAGACGACACCGGCATGTCCCTGTATTCTTATCACAGCCTCCTGGTACCATGCCCCCAGCAGCACACTGGCACGCTGCAGAGAGAGGGAGAGAGGGAGGAGAAGGAGAGAGATGGAGGAGAAGGAGAAAGGGAGGGAGAGATGAAAAGGAAAGAAATGGTTTGACTTAGTTGTCCATTTGGACTGAATTGATCAAAGCATTGAACAAAGCATGTCTAAGAACCTTTGAACCTTTCTATGACAGAACACGACTGGTCACTTACGTCTGCAGCCAATGAGGGGGTCTCCATAAGTGTTGTCAGGGCATTCTGTACAGGTACGACCTCCGAACCCTGACCTGCACAGACACTGACCCGTACTCTGGTCACAGGTGTCACCATGGGAGTTGGTGGGGTCACAGCGACAGGGCACACAGCCGCGGGGGGAGGAGGGGTTCCAGTAACCATGGGAACAGAGGTCACAGGTCAGCCCCTGGAGATAAGGTCGACAGGGACACTGACCGCTCACAGGGTCACACACACTGGACAGGGAGCCCTCTGCACTGCACGAGCACTCTGGAGAAGACAGACACAGAGTCAGATGGGGATAGACATACACACACACTCTGGACACCCCCACAGTATGGTGAATACAGTTGTAAGTAATCATAAAATAGGGAGAGTTTGTGAACGGGTTCATGGTCAAGGGTGAAAGGTGACTCACTCGTGCAGCCCAGAAGGTTGGAGGCGGTCAGGCCATAGTATCCCATCTTGCAGCGGTCACATCTAGGTCCGTCAACGTTGGCCTTACAGCGACACGACCCTGTGACATCATCACATTGACCCCCATTCTCCGCCCCCTCTGCACTGCAATGGCAGCCTGTACAAAACACAGGAAACAAAACAGAAACACAACAAAGATATGATAACACTGCAGCATATTGTGGTGGTGATTAAACCTATAGTAGGAGAGAAAGAGGAATAAAGGTAGTAGTATTTGATTCATATATATTATTTAACTCGGTCTTAAGATCACTCACGTGTGCAGGCGTCAGGCCGGTCTATACTGCTCCAGTGGTTGGGTTGGAATCCAGGGGCACAGCGGTCACACTTGGGCCCGGTTGTGTGGTGCAGACAGCCCTCACACACACCCCCACTCCTCCGTCCGCTCGCCTCATACACAGCTGGGTCGAAACGGCACTGCTGTGCATGGTTGTTACACTCACAACCTACAGGGGGCAACACCAAGGGAAATATTCAACACGCTCATCTGTGACTGTATATGTTCAGTCCACTCACATGCAACTGTACTGAGGGTGTTCAGTCTTCATAGGAAGATTACTTATATTTGCTGCTTGTGCGCTACTTTAGCAAAGTCCTCCTATTTCTGAACACATGCAAATGATCAACAATATGTAGTCAGTGTATTAAGACATTAGTCCATACGTTTGCAGGTGTGTGTGTTTCCCTCCTCTGCAGGTCTCCAGGGCAGGTCGTTGTAGAGATCAGCACATCGTTCACAGTTCATACCTGCTGTGTTGTGCTGGCACTCACACTGAGCACTGACCTGCAACACACAGAGAGAATTAGACACAAAGCTGTGTGTTGGGTATACACTGAGTATACAAAACATTAGGAACACCTGCTCTATCCATTACATAGATTGGCCAGGTGAAATAGGTGAAAGCTATGATCCCTTACAGATGTCACCTGTTAAATCCACTTCAATCAGTGTAGATGAAGGGGAGGAGACAGGTTAAAGAAGGATTTTTAAGCCTTGAAACAATTGAGACATGGATTGTGTGTGTGTGCCATTCAGAGGGTGAATGGGCAAGACATAATATTTAAATGCCTTTGAACGGGGTATGGTAGTAGGTGCCATGCACACCGGTTTGAGTGTGTCAAGTTTCCCGTGTGTATCAAGAATGCTCCACCACCCAAAGGGCAAAATGGGGTGCAACTGAATATTAGGAAGGTGTTGCTGTTTTGATGGGCCACAGCATTTCATCGCATTGAGTAAGTCATTACATTTATATTTACATTTACATCATTTAGCAGATGCTCTTATCCTCTCCTTGCTGTTTTTATGTTGGCCAGTTTTGTGCCTTGGTTGTGTTTATTGTGGGTCCTAGTACTGGTTTTTAGTCTGTGGTTGGTTCTGACTTGCTGCCAATTACTGTGGTGATTCAATCTAACTAACTATCACACTGTGTGGATTGATTCTTTTAGCTGATTCCTAGCCAACCATTTCTTCAAAATGGCGTCTGACTTTTACCAGACTGGCAGCAACCACCTTCAGAGACTACGGTTTCATCCCATGTAGGACCTAAACCTATTTTGCACATTTCCAGGATAATATTGGCCAGCCAAATTTCCAATGTGGAGGAATATATGTCTGTACTGGATGCCCAGAGTAAGCAAATTGAGACATTGCAGTGTATCCTGGATAGGTCCCACTCTAAGAGCTTTTCCTTTTCTACTCCTCAGCCTGGTCGTCGTGCCACTGCCTCGCCACCATGTTGCCACTCTCTGACTGACTGGCCAGGGCTGCCCTGCAAAGACCCCTCCCTAGTGAAGTCACCTCTCCCCTACCATCTCACCTGCCTCCCATCCTACTCCGAACTCCCATCCCATCCCAGCCCACCCCCCACCCCCATTGGAGAATAAAGGGGCAAGGACGCTTTATGAGGAGCTGGCAGATGCCATAGTTATCGATCCTGCATTCCAGTGGAGGCACGTCACACACCGTAAGCCAAGCGCAAGGCAGTGGTCTTTGGTGAATGGGGCTGAAATGGATTTGGTGGATCCCATCCTGCTGACCAACAGTTTCGACCACCTGCTTCCAGAGATTGCTGCTCCTTTATCCTGACGGTCCAGCTCAGGGAGTCTCTACCACAGGCTGTCTAGGCCCCTTACTTTTTTCAATCTTTACTAATGACCTGCCACTGGCTCTGAGTAAAGCCTGTGTGTCTATGTATGCAGATGACTCGACACTATACATGTCAGTTACTACAGCGAGTAAAATCACTGCAACACTTAACAAAGAGCTGCAGTCAGTTTCAGAATGGGTGGCAAAAACTAAAAGCATTGTATTTGGGACAAATCATTCACTAAACCCTAAACCTCAACTAAATCTTGTAATGAATAATGTGGAAATTGAGAAAAGTTGAGGAGACTAAAGTGCTTGGAGTAACCCTGGATTGTTATGGTCAAAACATGTAACTGTTATGGTCAAAACATATTGGTGCAACAGTAGCTAAGATGGGGAGAGTCCATAATAAAGCGCTGCTCTGCCTTCTTCACAACAATATCAACAAGACAGGTCCTACAGGCCCTAGTTCTGTCGCACCTGGACTACTGCCCAATCTTGTGGTCAGGTACCACAAAGAGGGACTTGTGAAAATTACAACTGGCCCAGAACAGGGCAGCACGGCTGGCCCTTAAATGTACACGTAGAGCTAACATTAATAATATACATGTCAATCTCTCATGGCTCAAAGTAGAGGAGAGATTGACTTCATCACTACTTGTTTTTGTACGAAGTATTGACATGTTGACTGCACCAAGCTGTCTGTTTAACCTACTCGCACACAGCTCGGACACCCATGCATACCCCACAAGACATGCCACCAGAGGTCTCTTCACAGTCCCCAGAACAGACTATGGGATGCGCACAGTACTACATAGAGCCATGACAACCTGGAACTCTATTCCACAAGTAACTCACGCAAGCAGTAAAATTTGATTTTAAAAAACAGATAGAAATACAAGGACTGTGAAGAGTCACAAACACACATACAAACACACATAACATACACACTATACACACATGTACATCTGGATTTCTTGTTGTAGTAGAGTAGTGGCCTGAGGGCACACACTTAATGTAATGTGAAATCTGTTGTAAAATGTATTTTAAAGTTTAAAATGTGTATTATAATGTATATTACTGCCTTAATTTATGCTGGACCCCATGACGAGTAGCTGCTGCCAAGGGGATCCATAATAAATACAAATAATAAATACAAATACAAACAGCATATAAACACTCTAAATAGGTCAGGAGCCTAAGATGGAACAGAAATGAATTACTTAGGCTATATTATTTCAATTATTTCAAGGCTATAGCCTACAAAGAAATACATTGTGAAATATTTGTGAGTGCGACAAACTAGGCTGGTAGGGAGTCAGGAATATTATAGCGCTCAGCATTTAAACATTTAGTTGTATTAAATCATTATAGTCTATAAATTGTGCATATAGGCTGTGACTTACTTAGAATTAAATGCAAATTAAACGAAAAATGCCTTATTAGGCTCAGTCTACAGTGCCTTTGAATTCATTTTTAGAAACACCAGAGTCTGTGGCTTCAGGCTCATGCGATGGTGCCTGGAGAGCAGGCCAGCAGCGGAGAATATCCTCTCCGCGCTTGCAGAGCCACTGGGGATGCTAAACACCCTTTTGGCCACTCTTGCCAGGCCGGGCAGGGATGCAGAGTTTTACAGATCTACACTACCGGTCAAAAGAACACCTGCTCATTCAAGGGTTTTTCTTTATTTGTACTATTTTCTACATTGTAGAATAATAGCGAAGACATAAAAACTATAAAATAACACATATGGAATCATGTAGTAACCAAAAAAGTGTTAAACAAATCAAAATATATTTTATAATTGAGATTCTTCAAATAGCCACCCTTTGCCTTGATGACAGCTATGCACACTCTTGGCATTCTCTCAACCAGCTTCACCTGGAATGCTTTTCCAACAGTCTTGAAGGAGTTCCCACATATGCTGAGCACCTGTTGGCTGCTTTTCCTTCACTCTGCAGTCCAACTCATCCCAAACCATCTCAATGTGGTTGAGGTCTTGGGATTGTGGAGGCCAAGTCATTTGATGCAGCACTCCATCACTCTCCTTCTTGGTAAAATAGCCCTTACACAGCCTGGAGGTGTGTTGGATCATTGTCCCAATTTGGACTCCAGACCAAGGGACAAATTTCCACCGGTCTACTGTCCATTGCTCGTGTTTCTTGGCCCAAACAAGTCTCTTCTTCTTATTGGTGTCCTTTAGTAGTGGTTTCTTTGCAGTAAAATCGACCATGAAGGCCTGATTCACACAACTGATTGGCTCAAACGCATTAAGAAGGAAAGAAATTCCACAAATTAACTTTTAAGAAGGCACACCTGTTAATTGAAATGCATTCCAGGTGACTACCTCATGAAGCTGGTTGAGAGAATGACAAGAGTGTGCAAAGCTGTCATCTAAGCAAAGGGTGGCTATTTGAAGAATCTCAAATATAAAATATATTTTGATTTGTTTAACACTTTTTTGGTTACTACATGATTCCATATGTGTTATTTCATAGTTTTTATGTCTTCACTATTATTCTACAATGTAGAAAATAGTACAAATAAAGAAAAATCTTTGAATGAGTAGGTGTTCTAAAACTTTTGACCGGTAGTGTATATAGGTAGGTGCATGCTGGGCCGGGCATGCCCTGAGCTCATGAAGTGAGTGAAATTGGAGCAGGCAAGAAGGCCTTTAGGAATCTCGCTCCGCGCTCCAGTCAAACTGGGCATGCTCAGCTCCACGCTCTGCTTCGCTCAAAAACTCTGGTTGGGTATAGGCGGTTGGTAATAGTCTCAGGCAGACAGCGGTTGGCCTGCAGCTGTGTGTTATATGTGTTAGGTATACTATACCTGTGTGTTAGGAGGTTGACAGTGGTATCATACCTGTGTGCTAGGTAGCTGGTTGGTAGTAGAATCCGGCAAACAGCGGTTGGCATGACCGTGGCAGAGGCAGGTGCCCATTACTCTCATCTCTCTGAGGGCATAGAACAGAGAGGGGGCGCGGCCGGGCAAGCGGGGCACAGTACCCAGCTCGGTCAACCTCACCCGCAGGCCTGTCAATCCTGACACCTCTGTGGACCAAGAGAGAGCTGTCAATCACTGGGCAAAGCACCTCATTGGATCAGGAATGTGTCAATCAAGAAAGGTGTAAGTGGCTCTGTAGGAGAGCACCTGCTAAATGGCTAAAAGGTAATGTATAAGGACATTGTATTGTCCATAGTAACAATGGGTGAATGTTATGGATGGGTAAGTGGGTATGGTTGATTATTTTTATCTTACCTTGAATCTTCTGCCCATTGGGGACGCTGATGGTAGAGAACTGATGCAAGGGGCTGAATTTAATCTGTGTAATGCAAAGGAAAAAAAATCTAAAAGGGGAACAGCAGAACATTTAATCTCTGGATACCACAAAATATCATGTGATTTTCCTCCAGCTTCCAACGTTGTTACCCCGTTATCTCGTAAACCCGACCCTAAATTGTAGGAGGCAACTGTCTGCCTAGGGAGCACAGGAGGTTGGTGGCACCTTAATTGGGGAGGACGGGCTCGTGGTAATGGTTGGAGTGGAATAGGTGGAATGGTTTCCATGTGTTTGATGCCATTCCATTCGCTCCGTTCCAGCCATTATCTGCTATGGAGACTATTCCCTTACTGTCTGGTCCTGGTAAGTGTTAGCCGGGATGGGGGGAAGGGTGTAGCAGTAGGTCTGGTCCAGGGAGCGTGGTGTAGTCAAGGCAACACCAGAGAAGGCCGAGCGGCAGTCTGAGGCCATGTAGAGAGACGGTTGCCAGGTTTGACCATTATTCAGCGTCCTCTCCACCACCAACGCACTGGCACGAGGACCCTGTGTGTAGAGGCAACCAGAAAATCAGTCCATCAAATTCTACTACAGGCCCTCCTGTAGCTCAGTTGGTAGAGCATGGCGCTTGCAATGCAAGGGTTGTGGGTTCAATTCCCACAGGGGGCCAGTATGAAAAATGTATGCACTCACTAACTGTAAGTCGCTCTGGATAAGAGTGTCTGCTAAATGACTAAAATTTAAAAATACAATTTTGCCCTTACACATTGGAAAAGCCCTGACCATGCTGCTCTGGGGGCTGGGTCTTACCTTGAATGTCAGAATGAGGGTGTCCAGCTGAAACAGGTTCTGTAGGTCCAATTGTAGGGTGACCTGACTCACATCTAAAGAACCATAGGTTTTGTTTATTTGGTGGGTCACAATAAGAAAGCTTTAGGATGGGTCACTCACATCATGTGTCCTATAGCTCTGTAATCCCCTCACCTTTCCTGGCCTGCCACCACCTGTTGGGTCCAGCGGTGGATAGAACGTTCTGGATGGTGTGAGCTAACTGACTGGATGGGTTCCTGGAGTCACAGGGACAGCACTTCATCCTCCACTGAGAGAGAGAGAGAGAGAGAGTTAATACTACTTAGCATAATTTACTGTATATAAGGTCATGCAAATAAAGCATGTTTGATTTTTAGAGCGTAGGGGGGATTAAAAAAATATGTGTGTGCTCTAGATATTTAAACACATCTAAACCAGATTAGATTGGTTTATCATTAATGGAGTCCTGGGCATTCATGCTGTGCTCTGCTCTGCAACGTAACCCAGAACTGTAACAGTATACACACACAGTGTGTGTTTGTGTTTGTGCATGCATGCGTGCGTGTGTGTCCCATGACCTCTTTGTAGAGAACGTGAGTCATTGGTCAGCACACATTCAAACAGTACACTAGTCGTGGGAGGTTTAAGTGCCTTTACTTTGACAAGAAATCCTAGTTTATCAGACAATATGGACTGAGGGAACGTGAGAGCAATCACAGAGCAACAAGACAGAACAAGGTATCAGTTCGTCCTCCAACACAATGGAACCACTCAAAACGACCAATGTGCAAGTAAATGTTCATGTGGATCTTCCCACAGACACCATAGATAACACTGAGGTAAAGCCATGATATCTCAAATCAATACAACACTGATGGGAAGGCTCTTGCGTAACACTAGTGAAGTGGTTTTTCTACGTGCATTATGTGACCCAAGATCACTTGGTCCACACACAGGACTAAAGACCGCAAAAACACTACAGTGAATACTGTAGTATTTACTGTAGTATACTGTATTACACTGTAGTATTTACAGTTAACTAAAGTATAAATATTGTAGTAAAAGAAAACTGTAGTATATACTATAGTAATTAATGTAGTGTTTTTGCAGACTGTAGTATACTGTAGTATTTACTGTAGTGTTTTTGTTTTATTATCTTTGACATAGAAGTGGAGGCTTTCTCCTTTAGGAAACCTACTGGAGAAAAACTAAAAGAGCAAATGTTCCATAACCTGTAGGTAGGACTGGGGTCTGAACGGCTAGTTCAGCGCTTCTGCTCTTTTCTATAACCTGTAGGTTTCTCACTTATACCTGGCACATATTGCGATATTGGGGAGAGTAATGGGCAGGGTATATGCAAATAAGATACTGTAGTATTTACTATAGTAAAACAAGTGTAGTGTTTTTGCAGACTGTAGTGTTTTTGCTGATTTTTTTTATTTTTTATAATACTTTCGTATTTACTATAGTATTTTACAGTATATTACAACATTCTATAATAAGTACTACACATGAACCAGGGATACTACAGTGTGTAATATAGTATTCTACAGTATACTTCAGTTTACTATTCAATTCTATAATAAGTAATGTAGTATTCTATAGTTAACTGTAGTAATTTTTCATGTGGGTTCCCTGACCGCCAACATCCTTCTACCACCCCTCGCAATCAAAAAATCACCTATTTAAAAAAAATATAGAACAGCAACTCCTCCCCCTCTCCACTACAACAATCACCTCCAACCCCACTACCTATACCTCCAACCCCACTACCTATACCTCCAACCCCACTACCTATACCTCCAATTGCCCTTCCCTCCAACCCCACTACCTATACCTCCAATTGCACTTCCCTCCAACCCCACTACCTATACCTCCAATTGCCCTTCCCTCCAACCCCCTTGTGTCCACTACCCTTCACCTCCACCTCAGCTTGCCCTGGCCTGCAGCGGGTTGGGACTGGGGCTGGAGCAGTTACTTGGCCTGAGTCAGGCTGGCTGGGCTCTCTAGTCTGTCACAACAGAGGCCATGGCTTTGTACCACACTGGGGGAAAGGTCTCTCTGCACTGGACGTTTCAACACCAGCTATCGCCCAGTCAGCTTGCTCGCTCTCTTTTTATTACTCCTGTTTTCCCTCTCCAGGCACCATCGCATGAGCCTGAAGCCACAGACTCTGGTCAAACTGGTGTTTCTAAAAATTAATTTAAAGGCACTGAGCCTAATAAGACACTTTTCATTTAATTTGTATTTAATTCTAAGTAAGTCACAGCCTATATCTGCAATATATAGACTATAATAATTTAATACAACAAGATGTTGTTTAAAACCCTTTAGAGTCAAAGCCCTGTCTAAGCGGGGGGAGATGGAGGGGGTTCTAAGTTAACATATGGAATTGTTTTAAGATGGTCATACCAAGGATTATTTAGCTATTTGATTTAGAATTTTAAGACCCCATAATGTATCAAAAGAAAATATAAAAACAATTATTGGATGAAACATTGTCTTTCTTGCTCTCTTTCTCTCTCTCTCTTTCTATCTCCTTCTGCTGATCCCCCCCCCTCTCCCTCCAAACCACGATTTCACAAGTCAACAGGCAAGCTGCTGATTTCGTCAAACAAACCAAAATCTGGCAACTGTTAGACGTGTGCACACATGCGCCCACACACACACACACACACACACACACACACACACACACACACACACACACACACACACACACACACACACACACACACACACAATCACATACATTTACTGCAGATTCAGTGTATAAATACATTATTAATACACTGGTATAGACAGAAATATGTCCACTAATGTGTGAAGTATTGTCCATGTTGTATAACAACGTTATAATGTAATGTCAATTGGATGGTAATGATGTGATAATATTATTCATGTCTTCTGGTAAAGTCCCTGTGAATTGTACCCTAACCAATGGCCTGGTAAAGAGGGAAATATATTCTCCTGTACTGTATGGGGAGATGCAGGCATGCCATTTCCGTCAACCCTGACACAATGGCAAAGTTCATAATTCAACAGTGGGTCGGAAATGATTGACACCCTCGATAAAGATGAGCAAAAATGAATGTATATAACAAGTAATTAAAATACTCATCTATATTGTATGCAAAAAAAATTGAAATTATATTATTTTTTACTAATACAATTGCTCAGAGAAATATATTTAGTTTAACAAGTAATACAAAAAATCTCAAAAAGGTAGGGGTCAACATTATTGACACCCTTGTTTTCAATACCTTTCAATTCCTCACCTTCTGAGGATAAACATTTTGGGAGAGATCTTAGACCATTCCTCCATACAAAATCCTTCCAGGTCCTTGATATCCTTTGTCTGTGCTTATGAACTGCCCTCTTCAATTCAAATCACAGGTTTTCAATGGGTTTCAAGCAGAGTATGTAAACAGAGCGTGGAGCGGAGCGTGCCCAATTTGACTGGAGCACGGAGCGAGATTCCCAAAGACTTGTCGGCCTTCTCGCCCGCTCCATTTTCGCTCCAATAGCGCTCCAGTAGCACTCACTTTACGAGCTCAGGGCATGCCCGGCCCAGCATTCATTTTTTAGTCTACTTGTGTGCTGCTATAGCCCCTTGCTTTAGCTACTGTGATGGAGTTCACTGAATATTGAGAGTCTTGAGAGTCTCAGCTTTCCACAGAGGGGTCATATTAGCCTAAACCGTTCGGACGCTACAGACGTTTTGGTGAGAAGACCGATTTTCGGGATGTCTCATGGTCTGACATACATCGCTCTAGCTATGTCACCTTTCACCGCAGATGTGGAAAGAGGAAGGGTGATATTGGCGGAAGTGGTGGATTGAGACACAGCCCATGCAAAAACAGGCGGACTTTGATGGGGATTTTTTTATAATGTTAATTGAATTTCCACTGGGTTATTTTAATACAGCAAAATGTTGTTTAAATGCTGAGCACTTACATTTCGCTGACTCCCTACCAGCCTAGTATGTCGCACTCGCAAATGCTTCAAAATGTATTTCTTTGTAGGCTATAGCCTTGAAATAATTGAAATAATGTAGCCTAAATAATTCATTTCAGTTCCTGACCTATTTAGATTGTTTATATGTTGTTTAATATGACATGCAGCCTATTTGAAATGATGAGCGCTTCTTACTTTCACCTATTCATGTTTATTATAATATTTTTCATTCAAATCATATGATTTGATTTAAATACTTAAAAACCAAATGGTAGGTCCAATTAGTCGCAAAAATTGGTGGGTGTTGGTTAAATTGTGATGAATGGATCGAATGGAAAGGACTTGGAGCACAGGAGCGTGTGCAAGCACTGATGAGCGGGATTTTCGTCCGCTCAACTCCGCTCACATACTCTGGTTTCAAGTCCGGAGACTGAGATGGCCATTGCACTGTATATCCCATGCAAAAAACAATTCCACATTCAAACCAACAACTCCGGCCATCAGAACCACTGTGTTATCTAAATAGATATGGGTCATTCCACCAATTCGTACCCTTTTGAGATATGTAACTTGGTGGAACAAAAGCTTTTGATATTACCTCATTTTAACATTTTGTCATAAAGAGCACATGTTCAGCTTAGTAAAAAACATGTTTTCCCATCTCAAGAGGTTTTAAAACTGTAACAGGGTTGATGATTTCATATTAAATCAGCCATAAATCTCCTCGTGACAGGGGGAATTAAAGTTTGTTGTGTACAACAGGGAGGGGCAATTGCATGCAAGCTTCAAACATTTCTAGCCTGTCTATCTATTGGTTACAGGGTTGAAGTGTTATACTCAACCCACTCAGTTTTCCACCACAAAACACCAGAAAATGGCCCAAAAGAGTAGAACTAGCTCACCTGCGTTTACACTATGTTTTGACTATTAGATGTTCAATGTTTCTTTTGAAAAACATATTTAAAAAGGAATAGTTTCACCATATTAAAACGAGAGTTCAGATCACATAACAGGGTTGATCTTAAAATGAGGGACAAGTTGTTGTTTTTTACCTTAAAATGAATCACTAATCACATTAAATAAATAATAATCTTCAGAAATGACTTTGTCAAAGCAAGAAAATAACCAGGGCTTTACAATCATGGTGAAAACTTGTTCGGGTTAAAGTGGGCTCAAATCTTCCTGTCAATCACAGAGGGCGCACGGAGGGACTGTCACACCCTGGCTCTGGGACTCTATATGTTGAGCCAGGGTGTGTATATTCTATGTGTTGTTGTTCTATGTCGGGATTCTAGTTTTGTATTTCTGTGTTGGCCAGAGTGGTTCCCAATCAGAGGCAACGAGTGTCAGCTGTTGCTGGTTGTCTCTGATTGGGAGCCATATTTATACAGGCTGTTTTCCCACAATAGTTGTGGGATCTTGTTCCATTTGGTTTGTTCTGTATGGTTTATGTTGTAGCCAAGGACGTCACGTTTCGTTATCGTTTGTTGTTTATCGTGTTTTCATTTAATAAATATAAGTATGTTCGCTCATCACGCTGCGCCTTGGTCCACTCACTCTAACGATCGTGACAGGGACACTTTATCAAGTCTTTATTCATATTAAAAATCTGATTGATTGAATTGTCCATGTGGTCTACATTAAAGGGCACTTCATAGAATATAATAGGCTTTTCAAATGCAATATTGGTGCACAATAAAATATCAAAGGGCCTCATTTCGTGGAACAACCCATATGCTCTGGCATCAGCCCTGACCCTGGTCTGTCAGTGTGTCTATTTCTGGACCAGTGGTCAGTACTCAGAGATTGACCCAGAGACAGAGATGCTGACAGGACAGCACTGTTCACTGTTTGAGTGGCTTTCTAAGACTTTGAGTGAATGTATCGTTGGTAGGGAACAGCATTCTGGCTATTCATTAACTACAGAAACAACTTCCCAATTTGTCAGAACACAACCAGCAGCATCAGATGGAACACAAATTATAATTATTGTCAACTTTTTCCTCATCTTAACAATCCCACATATTGGAGAATTCAGATAAATGCATGTCTCCTTCTAGCTTTATAGGCTTATAGCTTTATAGCTTTACACAGGCAGCCCATTTCTGATCTTTTGCCGAATTATTGGCAAAAGACCTGATCTGATTGCTCAAAAGACAAATTAGTCAGAAAAAAAACATAATTGGGTTTCCTGTGTAAACGCAACCTTTTTTTAAAATACAGTTTGGTGTAGTCTGCTTCAGGCACAAGACCCCCTGGACCTGGTCAGTGTCCAGCCAGTCAGTGCCCCTTGGGCTGAAGGCTGCTAAGGACAATATGGAGAAACTCTGCCAGACCACTGGAATCTGACCAGAATAGATTAGTCTGCCAATGTAGCAGCCTGTATCAAAGTGTGAGTGTATGGCCAACTGGACGGCTTTTTGGACCAGAGTACAGACACTAACGCCACGGAGGCATGGACCATGGTACCACGGGGAGAGAGTTCTGGCCTGGGCCACTCATGGTACCCTCCTTCTGGTAGCACTTTATTGGTACCTTTTTTATTATAAAGCCGTCTAAATTGAATCAGAATTCCATGGTGGGTGGACTGATGGCAATATTTGATTCCCCATTTTAAATGTTTGAATTACGCTTACTGTAGAAGGCTGCTGAGGGGAGAACGGCTCATAATAATGGCCGGAACCGAGCTAATGGAATGGTATCAAACACCTGGAAACCATGTGTTTGATGTATTTGATACCATTCCAGCTATTCTGCTCCAGTCATTAACAAGAGCCCGTTCTCCCCAACTAAGGTTCCACCAACCCCCTGTGCTGTATATCTCTCTAAAAGTAGTACCTTTCCACAGTTCTACACAGGGTACAATGGATAATTCTATAAAGAAAAAAAAAAAATGTAAACTGAAAATGTATGAGTAAAAGCCATGGTATGAAATTAGGTCACAGAGTGGAACCTGATATGGTTAATATGCTCGACCTGGTCTCGAAGCCAGCTATTGGCTAAGATCCCCTACATCCCTGAGGAAAATGGGACCAGCCTTGCCTGTCTCATCTCTGATTAGTTCATACCAAACCCTGATGTAAAATCACTTTGAGCCATGTTGGCTTGTTGCTATTGGCGACTCTCTGGCAACTACCAGTGCCAAGGTCGGGTGAAAGGTAGAGGAGAGTGTTGGGCAAGAGAGCGGAGAGATTTGGCCTGTCTGACTGTGCCAAACCAAATCCAAACATACACTCCAGAATAGATCTGTCAGCACTGGACAGGAAGGCCAAGGCTCCTATCCCCTCTCTCTATATCTCCTATTGTATCCTTTATTCTACCCCTCTCTCTATCCCTCTCTTCTATACCTCTTTCTCTATCTCTTCTATCCCTCTCCTTCCCTCTCTTCTGTCCCTCTCTCTCTCTATCTTCCAGTACCCTCTGCAGGGGCATCACGGACATCGAGGCCAGCCATTAAAGGGTCACTGGCATACGTGCCACTGCCTTGACACTGAGTGATAAAGCCCTGGCAAACTGTACTGGCCAACTCCCCATCTGTCTGCAACTTAGCTCATCTTCAGTCAGGACATTCCACAGATCACATCACCAGGGATGGCCAACTGGCGGCCCATGGGCCGCCCCCCTTTTGAAGACCTTTAGATCGATTCCCCCCCCCAAAAAAAAATATGCAGACCTGCGAGCAACTGAGGCCCCTCATGATGAGTTCAGATGTTTTGTGGCCCCCACCCCATCAGAGTTGCCCATCCCTGGTCTACGCTATCTCACCTGTACTGAGTGATACAGAGTGTGTCAGAGAGATAGTCAATGCACAACCACACCCTTCGGACATGATTCAACACACACAGTCATACAGTTACAGTAGAACCACAGTCCAGACAGGTTTCTATGGCCTGGGGCACGTCTCCTCACACGCCCAACATTAAAAACATCTTTCACGTTTTGTGTGATCAGCACAATCATCCAGTGAAACACAATCACTTTGAGTAAATATCAAAACACAAAAGTGCTGAAGTTTCAGAAACTGAAGCCAGAACCCACAACCAGCAGACAGCAAAAAGATCTACAGTCTGGTGTGTGTGTGTGTGTGTGTGTGTGTGTGTGTGTGTGTGTGTGTGCGTGCAGAGACAGACTAGTAATTGTGAGCTTTAAGAGCAGAGTGACTGATACCTGCCCTGCCCAGCAACACCAGAGGGTGGGTGTGGCTCAGATGAAAGGCTCGACTGTAAATCAAACAGGCAGCGCCACAAATTAAATCAGAATATTTTTTCCTCTGTTGTCCTTTTAACTGGTTTTACCTCCTAGTTTGTCGAAAACAAATGGATGTTTCAAACTTGGCCCATAAATAAATCTACAGTAATAAACCTACAGTAATAAACCTACAGTAATAAACCTACAGTGATAAACCTACAGTAATAAACCTACAGTAATAAACCTACAGTAATAAACCTACAGTGATAAACCTACAGTAATAAACCTACAGTAATAAACCTACAGTAATAAACCTACAGTAATAAACCTACAGTGGTAAACCTACAGTAATTCACTAACTGAAATATTATGAGAAAATAAATGTCCTTATGTATTTTTACCCTGTCAACACATTATATTTGATTTTCTTTCTTTTCAAATCAAACAAATAATTCCCCATCCAACGTTTTTCTCTTCAGGACCTTAGCAACCCAGACTGCAGTCTGTAGTTGCAACATCTGGCATCTGTGTGTCTCTGGCACCAGATCCAGACAATTTCACAAATTACACCAACCAGCTCTCCCCTGACCCTCTATCCATCCACCCTCTCCCTCTCCCCATACCATCCGTGCACCCTTTCCCCCAGGTCTCCTACTGTGCATGGTCAGCACAGAGAGCAACAGTCACGCACCTTAAATCTGGACAGTGTGTGCGTGTGTGTGTCTGTCTGCCTGTCTGTCTCTCTCTCATGTCTGACTCCATAGTTATAGCTGCTCTACAAACCTGAAATGTTACACATTAAAAGCCTGGTGAACAACTCATGACAATTAACAGCTATTGCCCCACTTTTCTCCCATCTCTTACAGTGCCTCAGGTGTCTTTCATAGCAATAAGAGTAGGGTCTTACCTGTCCAAAGTAGGTGCAAAAGACCTCAGAGCCGGTGAGGCCGCAGGTGGAGGAGGCATGGAGCTGACGGTCCCTACCCAGGAGCAGGTCTCCCATTGGGGGGTAACAGGCCCCCTGAGAACAGTCCCTCTGGGTCGCAGCCACTGCTGTCAGGGCTGGGGAAGGGGATCAATTAATCAATCTATCTATCATTATCATCATAGATAGAAGTATGAACACAATTACATATGTCCTCATATCCTACACAAAACGATCACCACAATCTAGATGTTAAGACTAAAACTAAATCTAAATAAAAAAATATATGATACAACTGTAACAACTCATTGATCATTTTCGATTAGAAATCAATGAAGTGTTAACACAAATATCGTGAGCACATACCTGCTAATTGGAATAAAATCCACATTTTTGTTTCCTACTATGAGAAACTATTCACAAGACAAAAAGAAAAAGCCAACAATAGAGCAAAATATTGTCAAAGGTCAGACATTCACGACAAAGACCAGATAATTGGTTGACTAAATAATTGGAAGAAATGAACAATACAGTAGATGGCTACAGGAACACAAAAAATGTTGAACTACATTGAAAATAAAAAGTCAAATATCCAGTGAAAGTAAAATATTAATCAAACGGGCTGAGGACTTACCAGTTGTAGGTGTATGTACGTAGACAAGGGTGTGTGTGTGCTGCTCAGAATCTGTCTGTCTAAGTGTGTGTGGGTTCTTGGTTGTATCCTTATAAACACTGTCTCACCTGGGCCTCATGATACAGAGTGTGTCAGAAAAGTAGCTGGCAGACACACCCTTCCCCTCCGCAACCGGCTGGGATGAATATATATATTTTTTTACATTTTAGTCATTTAGCAGACGCTCTTATCCAGAGCGACATACAGTTAGTGAGTGCATACATTTTCATACTGGCCCCCCGTGGGAAACGAACCCACAACCCTGGCGTTGCAAGCGCCATGCTCTACCAACTGAGCTACAGGGGACCTGTACATCACAGGAGGTTGGTGGCACCTTAATTGGGGAGGACCTGTATGTGCTAATTGCTGGAGTGGAATAAGTGGAATGGTATCAAACACATCAAACATGGTTTCCATGTGTTTGATGCCATTCCATTCGCTCCGTTCCAGCCATTATTATGAGCCGTCCTCCCCTCAGCAGCCTCCACTGGAATACACACACACGCGAGATAGAACTTCACATGGGACATCTATCAACAACACATTCTTCAAAAAAGGGTGGCTCAACCAAAACTAACAGTGGAGCGATCAACCACACTGAAGAACATAAACAGTTCTCTGTAACGATGTGGTAAAACATAGTTGTGGATCGGTGGTTGGGTTAGCAGCTTGTCTCGACAAGGACAGTAGGCTTAGTGTGCAGTGAATGTTTAAGATACAACTTGCAACAAAAACTCTGCTCATCTGTCTGTTGAAAACCATTGTAAATTATCCATGTTATTATCTTTGATATGCCCATCTGAATCAGTGTCTCTACACACATACATACACACACACAAACATAAACACACACACCTCTAAATGTATATCCTGCAGGCAGTAAAAACGGTAACCCTGGCATTCTGTGTGTTGGCGTATGGCGGTGTGTGTTGTAATAAAAGCTATACTCAAGGCTGAATAAACACACTGTTTTTCTCCATAGCCACTGACTAACAGACAGGACCAGGGTGTGTTCTGTGGCTCACCTCCTTCTCACACACAGACACACACACAACTGCCAGACGGCTGCAGCCACACTCATAGCTTCCGCTTATACCTAAGGTAAGGAAAGGTAAAGTATCCGTGACAACAACAGGGAATACTTTGGTATAATGTTTTTTGGGGGGTGGGGGGTTCTAATGACTAAAGACCACAGACCTTGACGGTCCTAGCCCCCCTTTCCCCACCACGCGACTCTACATAAAATGGTCAACTTTGTCATGACATGTCGAATGTTGTCGAACCGCTTACAAAGCAGATTTCCCCCTGGGAAGATTACAATAGCCTAGAGGTGCAGTTATATCACAACCAAAGCTATAGCCACTTTAAAGCACATAGTCTCAGTCTAGCACTGCCTGAGTCCAGTGAGGGCAGTACAGTAGATATTACACTTGCATTTACTTGTCTCTGTGAAATATGCCCTGTGTCTTGCTCTATCTGTGGTTAGACATTTTTTACATTTTTACGTCATTTAGCAGACGCTCTTATCCAGAGCGACTTACAGTTAGTGCATACATTATTATTTTTTATTTTCATACCCCATGGGAATCGAACCCACAACCCTGGCGTTGCAAACACCATGCTCTACCAACTGAGCTACCTCCCTGCCGGCCATTCCCTCCCCTACCCTGGACGACGCTGGGCCAATTGTGCGCCGCCCCATTGGTCTCCCGGTTGCGGCCGGCTACAGCAGAGCCTGGATTCGAACCAGGATCTCTAGTGGCACAGCTAGCACTGCGATGCAGTGCCTTAGACCACTGCGCCACTCGGGAGAGAGACCACATGCTGTAAAGGTCTGAATAATGAGAGACAGTGTGTCCTTCTGATTATATACACACAATCAGCAGTAGGGTGTTACTGTGCTGAAAAAAACTACTAGTACTCATCTCAAATGACTATATACTATCCCAAAGCACATCAGAAGTCACCAACCACTTGTAATGGGAGAACAGGTCAGAATTGCCAAATGGCCCAGGTCTCATGATTCAAAACAAACAAATAAATTGAAGAGTTTCATTCCAAATTGCTATATATAAATGTTCTGAAATGTTGTTAAATTAGATTTTATTGTTTAAAGAATTATGAAAGAGATTGGTGTGTTTTTTCACTATCTAATAATGGCATGGGGTTGTTCAATGACAAACATGATCGTTTCATTTCAGACAGACAAATAATCATTGCCAAATGCTATATATCTGCCTCACTCTCAGAGAAATAAGTAGTACTACTAGGTTTTACACAGTCAATTGTAACAAATAACTACATTTTTTATTAAGAAATGTACAAATTATACATTTGTGACATTAATATAATTATTTTGGGTGAAAGATTCTATACAGTAATATGAGATCTGTATATCATTTACATTTGACATTTTAGTCATTTAGCAGATGCTCTTATCCAGAGCGACTTAGAGTAAGTGCATTCACCTTAAGATAGCTAGGCGAGACAACCACATACAGTGAGGGAAAAAAGTATTTGATCCCCTGCTGATTTTGTACGTTGTCACGCCCTGACTCTGGGGACTCTTATTTGTTGAGTCAGGGTGTGATTTTCTATGTTGTGTAGTTCTATGTTTTCGATCTAGTATGTCTAGATCTATGTTTGGCCGGGTGTGTTTCCCAATCAGAGGCAGCTGTCGCTCGTTGTCTCTGATTGGGGAGCATACTTAGGCAGCCTATTGGCAATTAGGTGTTGTGGGATCTTGTTCCGTGTGAGGTTTGTTGTGTGTTACCTTTGGACGTCACGTTTCGTTGGTTTATTGTTTTGTCGTTGTTTATTAAGTTTAAAATAAACATGTGTGCATATCACGCTGCGTCTTGGTCTGACCCGTCTATGAACGAACGTGACATACGTTTGCCCACTGACAAAGACATGATCAGTCTATAATTTTAATGGTAGGTTTATTTGAACAGTGAGAGACAGAATAACAACAAAATAATCCAGAGAAACGCATGTCAAAAATTTTATACATTTTTTTGCATTTTAATGAGAGAAATAAGTATCTGACCCCTCTGCAAAACATGACTTAGTACTTGGTGGCAAAACCCTTGTTGGCAATCAGAGGTCAGACGTTTCTTGTAGTTGGCCACCAGGTTTGCACACATCTCAGGAGGGATTTTGTCCCACTCCTCTTTGAAGATCTTCTCCAAGTCATTAAGGTTTTGAGCCTGACGTTTGGCAACTCGAACATTCAGCTCCCTCCACAGATTTTCTGACTGGCTAGACCACTCCAGGACCTTAATGTGCTTCTTCTTGAGACACTCCTTTGTTGCCTTGGCCGTGTGTTTTGGGTCATTGTAGCCTTGGTTTCTCAAATGACTGCCTCGCCTGGTTCACCAACTACTTCTCAGATAGAGTTCAATGTGTCAAATCGGAGGGCCTGTTGTCTGGACCTATGGCAGTCTCTATGGGGGTGCCACAGGGTTCAATTCTTGGGCCGACTCTTTTCTCCATGTATATCAATGATGTCGCTCTTGCTGCTGGTGACTCTCAGATCCACCTCTACGCAGACGACACCATTTTGTATACATCTGGCCCTTCATTGGACACTGTGTTAACAAACCTCCAAACGAGCTTCAATGCCATACAACACTCCTTCAGTAGCCTCCAACTGCTCTTAAACACTAGTAAAACTAAATACATGCTCTTCAACCGAACGCTGCTTGCACCCGCCCACCCGACTAGAATCACTACTCTCGACGGGTCTGACCTAGAGTATGTGGACAACTACAAATACCTAGGTGTCTGGTTAGACTGTAAACTCATTAAGAATCTCCAATCCAAAGTTAAATCTAGAATCGGTTTCCTATTTCGCAACAAAGCCTCCTTCACTCATGCTGCCAAACATGCCCTCGTAAAACTGACTATCCTACCGATCCTTGACTTCGGCGATGTCATTTACAAAATAGCCTCCAACACTCTACTCAGCAAATTGGATGTAGTCTATCACAGTGCCATCCGTTTTGTCTCCAAAGCCCACTGTGACCTGTACGCTCTTGTTGGCTGGTCCTCACTACATATTCGTCGCCAAACCCACTGGCTCCAGGCCATCTATAAATCACTGCTAGGCAAATCCCCGCCTTATCTTAGCTCATTGGTCACCATAGCAACACCCACCCGTAGTATACGCTCCAGCAGGTATATCTCACTGGTCATCCCCAAAGCCAACACCTCCTTTGGCCGCCATTCCTTCCAGTTCTCTGCTGCAAATGACTGGAACAAATTGCAAAAATCTCTGAAGCTGGAGACACTTATCTCCCTCACTAACTTTAAGCATCAGTTGTCAGAGCACCTTACCGATCACTGCACCTGTACACAGCCCATCTGAAATCAGCCCGCCCAACTACCTCATCCCTATATTGTTATTTATTTTGCTCATTTGTACCCCAGTATCTCTATTTGCACATCATCTCTTGCACATCTATCGTCCCAGTGTTAATACTAATTGTAATTATCTTCCACTAGCCTATTTATTGCCTTACCTCCATAACTTGCTACATTTGAACACACTGTATATATATTTTCTGTTGTATTTTGACTTTATGTTTTGTTTTACCCCATATGTAACTCTGTGTTGTTGTTTTTATCGCACTGTTTTGCTGTATCTTGGCCAGGTCGCAGTTGTAAATGAGAACTTGTTCTCAACTGGCTTACCTGGTTAAATAAAGGTGAAATAAAAAAAATAAAAAAAATTGTCATGC